GGAGGATTGTTGGAGTTGAGAGACAGCGGTAAAACTGGGAAGACACAGTGGCGGCTGGTGGTGCCAAATGTTCCAGATATCAAGAAGCAGATCATGAGGGAACTACACGAGGTCCCTTATTCAGGACATCTGGGCTACCATAAAACATTAAAGAACATCCAGAAGACCTTCTACTGGCCTGAGCACACCCTGGATATTCGGGACTTTGTGATGGGGTGCCCAGTTTGCCAGCAGGAGAAGGCTGTCCACCGTGTCCCCGCTGGACTGTTGCAGCCATTAAAACTCCCAGAACAGAAGTGGGCCGACGTCAGCTTGGATTTCATCATGGGTCTACCAAAGTCAGAGACTGGGAACGACGGGATACTCACAGTGGTAGATCGGGCAACGAAGATGGTGCATCTGGCGCCTGTCAAGCAGACTATCACAGCTGCTGACACAGCCCGACTCTACTGGAGCACTGTGGGGAAGTTGCATGGAATCCCTCGTTCTATTGTGAGTGATCGAGACCCACGCTTTGTGTCCAAGTTCTGGCGCGAGCTGTGGAACATTCTGGGAAGTTCATTGAGGATGTCCAGCGCCTACCACCCACAGACAGATGGTCAAACAGAGGCGATGAACAGGGTGGTAGAGATGGTTTTGCGCTGCACTCTACACGCCGGGCAGGATGGATCGAGCTGGGAGCGGCTGTTGTCCACCGTCGAGTTTGTGATCAACAACAGCCCAACGCAGGCGACCGGGTACACGCCGTTTTACTTGAACTACGGCTTCCATCCGTGTACTCCGGCAGACCTTATCCGCGATAGTGACTCTACTCTCATTGAGGGAGTCAACCAATTCGTAGAGCGGATGAAGAGGAATTTCTCAACGGCGGTTAAATTTCTGAACCGGGCTCAAGATCGCATGAAGGCACAAGCCGACCAGAAGAGAAGGGAACAGCGGTTTAGTAGTGGGGATCAGGTGCTTCTCTCAACAGAGCACCTCAACTTGAAGAATGCACCGATCCGTAAGCTGAAGAAGAGGTTCGTTGGCCCATTCTTTATTGTCCGTCGGGTGGGACAGGTGGCCTACGAACTTCATCTTCCGAGTACGTGGAAGATACACAATGTGTTCCACGTCAGCTTGTTGCATCCTTTCAGGACCAGTTCATGGACGCAACCCACTACATCTGGTCAGGTGGAGGAGATCGAGCCTGAGGATGATGAGCCATACGACGTTGAGAGATTACTGCGTTGGCGGTGGACCGGTCCCAGTACCAAGCGGCAGAAGGAGTATTTGGTCCTTTGGAAGGACTATTCATTGGATGATGCCACTTAGACTCCTGAAGAGAACTTTACCTACCAGGAGGAGCTCAAGAAAATGATCAAGAGGGACAGACCAGTAGAGGACAATTAAGGCCACTGGTTAGCCTGACGTTTCGAGGGCGAAACTACCCCCAGGGGGGAGTACTGTGGTGTAAAGCACAGGGGGTAGTGTGTTTCTTTGATTATGGGTATCTGGGAGGTACAATGAACAGTAAAGAACAATCTCATCTCTTAGTAGAGCTTACTAGGAACCCATAGGTTTTTGAATCACTCCATTTGGGTTAGCGGTAGTGGAGATATAGTTACTAGAAGTTACAGTACTTAGGGACGCCTCCACAACCGTACTGGGGGATGAGATACTATCGATACGGTGACGTTGGCTGCATTGTCACGTGATGCGGGGCACGCCAAAGGGTGACCCCGATGCCCGACCAGTTGTAACTCTTGCTGACCACTTGCCTCCGCGCGGCTGCACCCGCAGGCCGCACCGGCGTTGCCAAGCACTCCATTGGCGCTACATCGCCGCCACCGCGAATCGGCAAGCAGACTGGCCCACATTGGCAGATTTCCTGGTGAACGAAGTGTTTGATCGCTTCGCTGTTATTGGCGGAGGGAGGCGGTTTCCGGCTGATTATGCCTATGGATTAGCCTGATAATCCACGCTATTGCCTTTTATCGTTTCCGAGTGGTAATCTCGCTCTCTTTCCGCTTGCCTACAGATGTTTTGCTTTGCCATTTGCTACTCGTTGTTGTTGGCGACAAGCATGAACTGCGATGCCTTTCCACGGGTTTCCATTTCTGACTAATCCCAGATTGATTGCACCGCCGGTAACCTTGATGTGGCCTCACGCGACGCCTAAAAACTCACCACTGCCCACCGCACCTCCGCGCGCGTCCGCCATCAACTCGCCCGCTCTATTGCCTACCGAACCCAATGCGCTGCTCTCCGCCTTGTCCCGCGCGTCCAACGTGCCGCTCACCGCTGCGCCATCCCCGCCCATCCTACGTTGGCGCCCCTGAATGCCCTGGCCCAATCCTCTTTGGCAACACCATTGCTCATAGGATGGCGTTGTCCATGGGTGGCCGAGGCGCCCCGCCGCTGCACCTTGCGAGCGCAGCCTCCAAGCCACGCATCGCCTCCCGCGTGGCCTCCAGCTCCGCCGCACCTCCGCCGCCCCCACCACATGGATGACACAGTGCGGTGGCCGGCGCCGCTCTTGCCTCATGTGCGGCCTTCTCCGCTATGGAGAATATGGGGGCCTCGGCGTGCCCGCAGGGTTGCGCCTCCCTCCGGCGTCTGGGCCACCCGACCGCCTGTTCCCGGGCTCACCATACGGCGCTCTAGCACACCCAAGGGGGTCAGGAGCCATACGACGATCTTCTAGTATGGCCGACCCCCCGGGTGACCGGCAGTGTTCTCTCAACCCTACGTAGTGCAGGGCACTGATAGGCCCCCAAGAGCGAGAGCCACTCGTCAAGCCCCCACTCCTTGAAAGGCTTCTACCAAGCGGCCGCCCACATGGTGGCGGAGGGACGGAGAGCCATGGCTAGAGTTGCCACCCAAGGTCACGGAATACACTATGTACTATCCACCGAAATAAAATACAACCATTCTAGACTAAAGCATTTTTTAAGTGCTGCGCCAAAGGACACCCCTTGACGAGGTGAACAACTCCTTTTTCAGAAGCTGTTTGGTTGTGCGGAAATCCATTTTTTAGGGACCAAGCATGCACCATTTTCAAACAAATGTAATGCATGCTTTTGCAGCATGTCTTGCCTCAAAACCACCCCAAAATCAATTCAAGGAATACAATTTCTTTTCCAGAAATTGATCCTACAACACCTCACAATCTCACAGCTCCTTTTCCAGGAGTTGTTGGATGACTGTACATATCCCTTTTTCATTGATCAGTCATGCACCTATTGTAGTCAAGTGTCAAACATGCTCTTTCAACATGTTGTCTCTCAAACACATCATGGACCTCAAAAACTAACCCTGCAACCACTCACAATCTTGCAACTCCTTTTTCAGGAGCAGCATCATTTTTTCAGTGGTAAACATAAACTATCTCTGCCTAATTTCAAGGGCAGCACCACTTTTCAGTGGCAGCCGGATACACCATTTTTTTAGCGGTCAACACTGACCAATGCTGCACCACTTGCACCAATGACAACACCGATTTCACAGCGGCAAGCAAATTCCAACCACTTTTTCAGTGGCAAGCACAACTTGCATCAGGCCAGAGACATCAAAAAGATGCACGAGCTGGAAAGAAACATTGGCTCTGTGCCATGCCGGCAAAAGAGACATCCCGGCATGTTCCTTAAGGCGCATACCTGTAAAATGAGCGACTGGTGGCACAGCCCCACAAACGCACATTTGGGTAACCCCATGGCTGGAAAGAGACATCAGCCAACGGACTACAATCTCATGTACTCCCAAACAAATCATGGACGCTCCGACTGGTCCAAGACTCCTTGTTCAAGAGTTTTTCCCCTTTCCTTTCTGCATTTCTCAACTCTTGTCACCTGCTCAGTGGCATTCCAGAGCATCATGATAAAATCAGCATCTAGGACTACTGAAGAGTGGGCAGGTTGGGCAACACACCAACACAACCCCATGCTGAGGCAAGACATCTCCCAACATGTTTCTTGGGGCCCAAACGCTTGACCAACGCAGCCCAAAACACAGCTCTGTGGCCACTAAAACAGACTCTGCCCATAGCTGGAAAGAGACATCAGCATATGGAATCGAATTTGAACAAAGGTGATGCAATGAAAAGGCCAGCATCACAGCCAACACGTATGTTTTCTCCACAACAATATTTCAGCTGTGGGTGACTGGTGGATGAACGAACACATGCAGCCTTAGCGTGGGGTAGTCCATCCTGGAAAAAGCCAACAGGTGTGGGCCCAAGCTTCGGTTATGAATGGTTCCTTATAGCCTTCTTCAGGCCAGAAACCTCTTAGCCAAGGACGAGTGGCTTTGAGGATAGACACACGCCCAAACTGGGCAGTATCCTTATTCAGAACACATAACCCCACCAGAAATTGAGAGCCGCGGTCAATATTGGTGAGGCAGTTTTCATTGAATACTCTTGAAGCATGGGGTTTCGCTCAGTCGTCACCAAGCTCCCCTGAGGCATTAATACCTCTCGGTTCTCACGACCAGGTTGCTGCACTACTGAAACCGCAAGCACTTGACCAGTTTTTGTTTTTGTTTTTGTTTTTTCTTTTCCTAGCCGGTGGTGGCATACTCGGACCATCCCACACAGTCGGAATACATGTCAGACGTGAGTCCCTCCCCAGCTGAGCCATAAGTGGCCCACCCAGTGAAACGGTGGTCATTATGCAGCTGCGCGAACACACCAAATTTCCTAGCGTCAACAATGCAAATCATATACCCGGCCTCCTTAGGGCCATTTTACACCGCACGCACCTGATACACTCCCGAAGGCTCAACCAAATCGAGGATAAGATGTGAACGGTTACTGACCACTATCCAACTGCAAGGTTCGCCTGTCACAGGAAGATCCGTCAACCTGATATACAAAGTAAATGCGCGCAATGTTCTGGCCAAAATTGTTTCCATCCGAACACAAGAACCAGTGCGGAAGATAAGAGCCCCACCAGTGGGCGCCGTTGGTCCCCCCTTCGGCCACATCGCCCGGGCCTCGCGCCCTTGAGCAGTTGCGGTGCATGTCCCGAACGAGACGCCTTCTGACCGCCGGCGCAGCGTTGATCGGCACAGGAGGGGCGGTGGCTTGGTTCGCGTACCCCGCCCTGCTCAACACCTTCAACCCGGTGCCGGAGGTCCCTATCGATGGCCTGGTGCCGTCGCGCCAGGAGCAGTTCGACAAACTCAGGGCGGGGTCGCGGGACAATCCGTACGATGTGCTCATAATTGGAGGGGGCGCCACGGGTGCAGGCTGCGCCGTCGATGCGGCGTCCAGGTGCGTTGCACTGGATGCCTTGCGCGATACAGGGAATGGCCTGTCTATTGACAAGCATCGTGTCAGCGCCAAGTAGGTGCGCTGAGGGCCGTCACGTGCAGTCATCACAGCTGCCTGGGCAACGTTCAGTGGCATCGCAGGCCGCACTCGCGGCGCTTCTTTGCCCTTTGGGCGTTAGTTCGTGGGCAGGTTCAATCACGGACGGGCATGACGTGGGCCGTCGATTGCGGCGCGCCGTTCGTGGCGCAGAATTGGAAAAATTTTAACGGTTTTGCGCGAAGGGGCCTTCGCACCGCGCTTCTGGAGCGCGAGGACTTCGGGTCTGGGACATCCTCCCGCTCAACGAAACTCTTGCACGGCGGTGTTCGTTACCTGGAGAAGGCGGTGTTCAGCTTTGACATGGGCCAGTTGAAGCTCGTTTTTGAGGCGCTGCGCGAGAGGAAGACGTTGCTGGAAATCGCGCCGCACCTCACGAGGTCATTGCCAATTATGACGGTGCGGCAACATGAGGCACTCAAGAGCTGTCCTTGCCCTCTCCCATTCAAGGCAGTGGCAACCAATGTGTGCCTAGGTTATGTTTTGTTGTCCACTCTGCTTCCCTCTTGAGAACGATCGTGGGCCCTTTGCACCGTTGGCTGACGGAAATTGCAGGCATGCTTCAGGTTGCTTGGAGCCTTTACGTTGCACCACGATCAGCACTCTAAGTGCTGATTCAAACCTGTGGCTTTGGTGCAGCCGTGCTACAAGTGGTGGGAGGTCCCCTACTACTGGTCAGGGCTCAAGGTACTTGTCCTGCACACGCAAATTTTGACGATCAATCCCCACTGGCAGTTGAAAAGAAATTTTGTTCCATATTGCAAGGCCGTGCTTGTTGCTGTTTGCGCTCATTTTGGTTTTGTGGGCTATGTGCTCCCATTGGATGTATTGCAGCAGTGCGCTGATTTTCAGCCACTCACTACACATTGGCTGCCACGCTGCAGCAATGGATGACTTGAACCAGCTCAGGGCATTGTTGCATCGATGCCATGGCAAGAGCCTGCTTGTTCATTTCTAGTGTCTCTCAGGCAATGTAAATGTTGCATTCCTTGCTGTGGTACTGCGTAGTTGGTCCACATCAGCGATGTCATGCTTCAGAGCAGTGCTCAATGAGCAGTTACCATGTTTGACTGGGAACACCATGCAGCTGGTCATCCCCAGCAAGTATCTTCTGCTATCTGCTGAACGACAGTCGCCATGTTGTGCAACAACAAACAATATTTTTTTCCTGCTGTTGCGGTTCAACTGTGTTCTTGAAGCCTACAACTTGTGTGGTGTGACATAGGCATACGATCTAGTGGCGGGTGTGAAGGCGTTGAGTTGGTCCCGATATGTGACACCACATGAGTCCAGGCGTCTCTTTCCCACGCTGGCACCCAAACGATCTGATGGAAGCAGCATGAAGGGAACGGTTGGTGCGGCAGGTCTAGTGTGTGCGATGTAGCTCAAGGTGCAGCAGGTTTCCATGCCAATGTTGCAGCCTATGACGACATGCCAAATGACTGGCAGTGGAAGGACACAGGGCAAGAATATGCATGGAACTGTGGAGTCAGATTGCATCTACAGTGTTCCCTGTAATCTGGCTGGCATATTGTCAGACAAGGATAATTCAACTGAAATGACAATGCCAGTGGCAATGTGACACGTGCACAGACTTTCTTCATATTGAGTTGGCACACTTTGCTTAATTGTGTAGTTTCATGTGCAACACACTGGCCATTGCATGTTGCAGTATTTTTGGTGAAAGAAAACAGCAAGGTCGATGTGCGTGGGAAATTGGGCCAAAGAATGCTGCAATGGTGTGTTTTCCTCGTCACGGGCATCGATGCTGTCCTTGGCCAGGAAGAAACACGACCTTGCAGTTTTGCAGCAAGTGCAAATGTCGGTTCAATCAATAGGCTGAGTATTGACAATTCTGTGGCTCCTACAGATTGTGTACTATGATGGCCAGTTTGATGATGCACGGATGGCCGTTACTCTGGCCTGCACAGCAGCCCTAAGTGGTGCGACAACGATGAACTACGCAAATTGCGAGCGCCTGATCAAGGTGATGCAGTGGATGCAAATCTGCCTTCCGGGTGTGATCCAGTCTCTCTTGATGGCCCAGTGATTGAGGACATATTTCGATGCCCAGTGCGCACGTGATTTTTTTGCAATTTCATTGTATGGCAAATCATATCTGCCATGCCATAACCTTTTTCGCAATGTCGTTGTGATGCTCACTGAGTTTGCGCATGGAATTGTGTGGAATGGCAAGAGGACTGGTTGCAGATGCAAGGCTGCAAGGTTGGGACAGACTACAGATAGCGGTAGAGGATTACAATGCTGCTATCCATCCCACTAATTACTGTACCTATCTCAGGCAGTGACAGTAATGTGACTAGCTGTTGTGCTTCCTGCAGGGAGAAGATGGCAAGATTGAGGGTGCTGTTGTCCGTGACATAGTGAACCAAAGGGAATGCCAAGTTTTTGCAAAGAGCATCATCAATGCTACTGGCCCCTTTGCGGATGCTGTTCGGCATCTGTCAATGCCTGATGCAGAGAATATGATCATGCCCAGTGCCGGCGTGCATGTCACGCTGCCAGATTACTATTCACCTGATGACTTTGGCATGATTGTGCCAAAAACGAAGGTACATTTTGTTGTGCATTGTGCTTGGTCGAAACTGGGCCCAGAGGCAACCACAAGTCCAGGAATACACAGAGCCTGCCCACTACAAATGCTTGGGAGAGTGCGTTTACTTGGTGTTAAACCAAACAGCGTCGCTCTGTCAAACATGGTGCTGTGTTTGCAAGCTGTGTGCCATTGTGAACTTGGATGGTAGACTGCCCCTAGGAGTGAGCTGCCGATCCTCTGAGATTCGGTGTTCCTGCATCTGGTTTGCAGTTGAGGTGTACACACAATACAGCGGCTGCTTCTCAACTGCTCTGATCTTCTAAACTGCCATGATCATCAGAATATTCCCTAACAGCTGGGAAAGCATTGCTTCCCACATACTAGTGTCAGTCTCTTTTCTACCTAGATTGGCAGCTGCTGCTGTTGCTGCTGCTGCAAGGTTGCCTTCTACACAGCAATGAACAATTCTGAAGCTCTGCAGTGTTAGAAAAGGAACCGTGCATGGCGCAGTAATGTTGATATTGATTTTCACCATTTCAGCTCAGTGCAGCGGCCTGTTTCTTTTAGCTCACCACCCAATCATGCCTTGTGCTTGTAACTGCCAGGTAGTTATTCTGTCCAGGCAGTCCCTCTGCCCTCGTCGACATATTGCCACAGGGCAGCCACAGTATGCCCCAAATGATATGCATGGCCTCCATGATCCCATACAGTGGGTTCGCACTGGATACAGCTACCCTCTGAAACCTGCAGAGTATTGTGTAGTGGTTTGTGGGCAGCAGGAAGGATGTTGGTGCCTGTGGGGTTCCAATCAGCAATTGTGTGCGCTTCCTTGGTTAGTTGGTGCAATGTATGTGCAGGATGGTCGGATAGTGTTCATGCTGCCTTGGTTGGATCACACAATCGCTGGAACGACGGATTCCAGTTCAGAGATCACTATGCGGCCACGTGCTTCTGAGGCTGAGGTTCAATTCATTCTAGATGCTATTGCTGACTATTTGACTGTTCAGGTATGGGAATATTCTAACCGCACCATTTGCACGATTGCCATGTTCGTGCCATTGCACACATCCCATTGGTATGCCACTGATATTGTATCCCAACTAATAAGAAGGGTGGATTGCCAACGTTGAGGAAACAGTGAGAAGAGATTGCTCTGCACCTGTCTTGGTGCGTGTGCTTTGTTTACCTACTGTCATCCGTGCAAGTTCTCAACAGTTTTGTTTGTTGCTCATAATTGCAAGCCTGTTGATCAAAAGGACAGCAAGGAAAATTGTGAGACAACTGTTCACATTTTTTAACTGTCTGCTTCAGGCTGCAGAGGCCCCACAAGTGTCCAGGGGCATATGCTGAACAAAGAAATGGGGCCAAGATATAGTGCAGCATAAAATCATACAGAGCAGTTATTATCTTGTCCAGCTTCCAATGCTGACGTCGACCCAGCGAATCTGCGAACGGCATTTTCCAGTCTTTGCATGAGAGGCTTGACTCATGTCCACCATTAAAAACTGATCTAAACTGCTGTACATATGCCAAGTACATGTTTGGTAGTCCTGCTCAGCACAGTTCATGCGAGGATTGCACAAGGATGGCAGGTTTGTACATGCTGTGCAGTCCATTCTGCTAACTTGTTGAGCGTGGTCATACTTTGTTGCAGGTACGAAGATCTGATGTGCTGTCTGCTTGGTCAGGCATCAGGCCCCTTGCCATTGATCCTGATGCAAAGAGCACTGCAAGTGCCTCTAGAGACCATGGTGAGTGAATGGTGTTGGTTGCATATTTTATGTCCAACTGTGATATTCCAGGGAAACACTTGCCACCACCAGAATATATGCTCAATACTGCAAGCTGGATACCAAAGGCTGGTGGCTGGGAGCTGAAATGGTGTGACTTGTAAACAACTGACTTTGCTCCACCACAATTGAATATGAAGGGGGCTGCCAGTTCATCCACGCACTTTGCTGCGCGCCCACCTGCACACAACCACAATGTCCTGTTGTGCCTGGGTATCATATTCCCATTTCTTTCAGGAGGCTCATTGTGGGAATGCCTGTGGACGATCGGCACAATCGAAGAAGCCCCAGATTTGGTACTGACTTTGGATGGCTGCCAACGATCCACCGTCACTCTGTCCGAATTGATGGTCACAACTCAAGCGTGTGTACTGCTGCACTTTGCTGACGCAGCATGGCTGAATACTGAGAAATCATCTGCGTGATGAGCACCGTATGCTGTCCATGAGTTTGCAGTTGGCACAACAATGTCTGGATGCTGTGGTGGATTGCACTGTCCACTCATGCCTTTGGCTGCTTTGCAGTTGTTGTTCAGGGTGAGGATGGTATGGTGACTGTCTGTGGAGGTAAATGGACAACATACAGGGCAATGGCTGAGGAAGCTGTGAGCAAGGCAGTGGAGGTTGGGAAACTAAAGCCCAAAAGGAGGTGCTGCACAGCACGCCTGCCGTTGTTGGGGTCTCGAAAATACTCCCCTGTGACGTTTACAGAGGTATGGCCATGGAGTTGTGCTGAAGGTCCCTGTTGTGTTCTCCCTCCGATTGTGTCCAAAATTTAAAACTCAATTCGTTATTTCTCAATACCTGCCTGCACTTTCACTGGGCATGCTGTTCTGTCGTTCATTTCCCTGTCTATGCGTCTTGTCTGCCTGAATGATGAAAACGGCCAACACACAAATGGGCCAATGAGGAGAAATGACACTGAACCAGGCCATTACCTTGTCATTTGCAAAGGGCCAGTGTACCGTACATTGTCAATGTCAAGATAGATCAAATGGCAAGTGTGAATCTATGTGGTATTCAACAAATGGGAAACTATTTGCGCCAAGGCAGCGAATCTAATGTGATGGCTGTCTCAGTGATTGTCGCAACGATGTCAGCCTCCTCTTCATTGTTCTCATTGGAAATGGGTGTTCATTGTTCTGTTGGCACATGCTTGAGCAGCGCAGTGGCTCATTCTTGCACTAGGCAGTATGCTTGGAGTCCCCAGGTGCAGCAGGAAATGCATGCAGCACTGAGTAGGGCATGAGCACAACGAGTAGGACAAGATTCGCCTGTAACTAGGAAATTGCTGCAAGAACTCGTTGCGAACACCAACGGAGAGGGGGACACATGTGTCGAAGATGTCTCTGGCTCTACCAAGCACCCAGCTCAGAGAATCTGCAACTCCTGAGACTGGGAAGCTGTGCGCCGTTTCCCGTGTCATCCGGCTGTGATACTCCTTATTGGCCACCCGGCAAAAAGCTGCCCAAGAATCGTATGTTGTGGACGGGCTGTGCAGCTATCAAGCATAGTGGCTAGAACGTGGGGGCAATGCCTTTCATGTTGCCACCGCAGTGGGCAGAAGAAAGAATGTAAAAGCCTGCAGTTCCCTTGTTGACCTTCAAGGCAACGGTGTCTCCGCATCGGTTGTAGAAATTGGTAGTGACCAGGTACTCTATTTTATGTGGTTTCGTGTGGCAGTTGTCTGGAATCAGTGCACGCAACTATGCAAATGCACTAAGATTGGTTCCCACTGGCACTATGAATGTCTGGCGTTCTTAAATGCCACTTCTATTTGGCTCCAGGTGGTGCGATCTGAGCCAGGTGGTGCAATGCTTCCCATGCAGGTCGCCCAGAACTATGTCGTTCCACATCGGCCTGGCGCCATAGACACACGCGTTGCCAAGCATCTCGCTCACTCGTATGGCGATCGCGCGGAAATGGTCACGAAGATTGCAGAGGACCGCAAGCTGGGTCGCAGGCTTGTACGCGGACACCCAATGCTCGAGGCAGAGGTCGTGTATGCTGTGAACAACGAATACTGTGAGACAATCGTGGACTTTATTGCACGCCGTACTCGCCTTGCGTTCCTGGATGTTTTGGCAACGAAGCAGGCTCTCGGCAAGGTGGGTTTGCTATTCTTCCGTCTTGATGACGCGATATCTCTGCTTGCCAAAGGGGGTGGCAGTAGCTGTTTAGCTGTGCTGGAGCTGGTGCGAGATGGGCTGTTAACGAATGGCATTAAAACCCCCAAGGTTGAACAGTAGCGAAGCTGTACCAACCACCGAACCCACGCACCTTGCTTTTTAGCACTAAGCCGTGAGAGTCGGTTTCGAACTCCTTACCAATTGGTGTTATGTCTACACTATTTGCCGAAAAGTTCAGTGCGTTGCACAAATGCCGTCTGCATCGGATTCACCATTGTTTGGTACAGAGTGGAACAAACGTTGGCACGAAGGATTGTGAAACTCTGTACACTATTGGAGAGGAGGACGAGGCAACGTACTTTTAAGGGGCTTGAACAGTACACAATTAAGAGTTGTCTATGCGCTACTGCCTATGAATGCAGAGAATTCTGATGCATGTAGTTTTCATGCCATGTCCAGTTGGGCCAATGCCATGAGCCCTATTGTGTAAAATGTATCAAAAGATGCATCGTGCTCCAGGGAATATCGAAGTCCAGGCTATGCAATTGCTGGTCCTTTATTTTGCGTGTATTCCCAAGGTGGGAATCCCAAACCCCAGTGCCCGCCTGCATCCTCTCGTGGGCATGCACGCACTGACAATCAAAGTTGTGGAGACAGTCGTGACATGTTCCTGATATATTTTTGAGATGCTTAAATGCGCTGCGCTAACAAGGGATCTTCATTCCTCGCGGCGGCTCTCCAGGGAAGGTCTCGCTCCTGCACCTTGGTGGAAATCCTCGGTCATGTGAACATACGAGCAATTTTGCTCACAGCGCAGACCACACGCAGGGAATTGTGGGCCTTGTGACTTGGTGGAGCGGAATCCTCCAGGATGGCCATCGCCATGACGCAATCGATATCGCGCTAGGCCACATGTGGTCTTGACATGTTGTTGGTGGCAATACTGAAGATCCAAATGTGATTTGTGTTGAGGCCAGGTGGCAGACCTGTTGGCACAGGAGAAAAAGTGGAGCTCGCGCCGGAAACGCGCGGAAATTGAAGCAGCTGAGAAGTTCCTGGAGACGTTTGGGAACCTGGAAAATTGACGTGATATTGGTTAGCACTTTGGTTCGAATGCTAACCGCCGTTGGCGACTCTTGGGAAGTCCTCATTTCCGCGTTGGGTGGCCAGTGGTGAAATGCATGGTGAGTTGGGGAGGCACGTGGCGCCAGCAGCTGTATTTTGTGGAGAAGATGCAGTATCCCAAGCGTAGCGCAGGGGTCCCTGTGTTGTGATGACGTGGTAGGCAGGAAGCTGGAGGCGAGCGAATCACAGCGAATTGGGAATCGTGCGCTCACGGCATATTGCCTCTTCCCTCCACTGACTACAGGAGCACAGGTCTCCTCCCCACCAGGCTCTGTGAAGCACACAGTGGGCCAGCGAGTTGGAGCCCAGTTCAGGTCAGCTGTTGCACGGTTTGGCATGTGCATACGGAGTGTCGAAAGGATAATGGGCACGCGCACCACAATCGGCGTTCGCACAGTACTGCACCCCTTGCAGACAGCACAGAACCTTTGTGAGGACAGCCCCGCAAGAAGACCCGGGCTGGGCACAACGCAAAGGGAGTTACCCCTTTCCAGTGCACGAGTCAGTGCTTCCATCGTACATCCCATTCCTTACTGGCGTGGTCGCACCACCCCCAATCACCCCGAGACCTCCCAGTGGCCACAAGAACATATTGGCTAGCCCACTGTAGAATGGGTCACCACCCATTCACATGACCCGTTGCGTTGATGTGCTGCCCATCCTAATCACTCTTGCCATGCTCAACGACATGAACTGACTCCTTTGGCGCCCACATGGACCACGCATTTTTATGGGCGCCACGATGCTGTGGTGACTAATGGTGGAGAGCATGCTCGCGTGGGCGATTCAATCTATCTCCCTGCGAGTTTCCAGAAGGTTCATGGGACAGCAATGAACGGTGCGCTGCATGTGGCTGATACTACAAAATGTACCTTTCCGCACATGGTTTATGGCGGTTGAAAGAGATCAGACTCTACATCCAAAAGCGCGAGCGCTGCCGGAAGACCGGGAGACTTGATCGCAATGCAGTTTTCTGTCAGTGAACTCGGCAATGTAGCCAAGGGACGGGTACGATGTGCAGGGTGCTGCACCTTCACAAAAACTACAAAAGAACTGCAGCAGGTGTGTGCATGCCTCACAGCTGCGATTGTCCTGCGTTAGACTTGAAACAAAAAGGTACTTCGGTGAGAGCACGCACAACGCTGGTCAGCGCAACGTGAGTGCAAAGCGAGGGGCTAACAGCGCATTGGGCAATCAGAGCACCATGACCTTGTTTCCCACCAGGCAGCGGACTTCATCACGCCTCTGAGCACAAGAAACAGGGCATTCGCGGGCACAATGCGCCAACCTCTTGAATCCCTCTCCTCGCCACACCATCATCCTAGACACTGTACCCACTGCTAAGCAGTAGAGACAACGTGCGACCGCACTGCACTCCCATCGGCTCGTCAATACATCCCCACACTTTCTCGAAGGCCTTGGGCCTTTCGCCAGACTGTGCTGTAAGGAAGCATCTCTGCATCATGGGCATCCTGAAGCGGGAAAGCCTTTTCTGCCACATTGTTGATAGCAGCCACCTGAGCACAACGCAGTGCACACACAGTGGCTCACATTACCAAACGCATTTCAGGGGATACGCACAGCAAGTAAATCCCCACAAAGGGAATCTGATCTGCTCGTGTTCCGATACAGCAACAGTTCACTGTGCTCACTGAACGCAACACAACAGCACCTGCAGGCAAGGTGCCACCCATGGGAGGTTGAAAACAGGGACTAAAGGATCGAAACAATGCAAATTGAGGAAAGTCAGCCCAGCCATAGACACTTTGGTGTTCAGGGTGTGGGGTGCTTCTGAGTTCAAGGTGCTGTGTCGCTTTGCTGCGTCCTGAATTGTGGCCTAGGTCGAACTTCCAACACATGACTAGGTTTTCCCACGTGCTGGACTGGGCATGTCCTGCACCCTTCAAGACATGTGCATGTGGATTATCAACTCATGTGGACAACAAGGACACTGAAAAGAGTCATGCAGGAAAATGACGTGCTCATTGCTCAAGAAACGGCAACAGAGAATACAACGCAACTGTCTTGCCCACAAAGAAGCCAACTTGTACGTGAGCAGCATGTTCCTTTTCAGCAACATTAGACTGCTCAGCTGGCACAGCCTGTGGTGCTCAAGCTCCTCAATGCAAAATTGGCAAGCTTCCTTAAACTTGCCAACCCCACCATGGCAGCCACTACTGCCAGCATGCTTTCTCATACTCATGTGTCCACAAGGTGTGCAAGGGCATCATATCACCCCCATTTCTGTGCAACAATGGGTAAAATATCTCACTCTCCACAGGGGTTTAGTGTGCTTCGAAGTGCAAATGAAACGAAAGATACTTAGCAAGGGCTGAGCTGTATACCTTCGAACATATGGCTGCATGAAGCACAGGCACAGGTGCTGCTGTTTGCCAATAGGTAACAGTTCCAATCGACATCATGGCGTACCTCATCGTCAGTCAGATCCCTGACATATCTGGCAGGATTGCCAGCCCACAGCTGCCCAGATGGCACTAACCTCCCTGGGGGAAGCACAGTCCCTGGCAACAGCTGGGAGTGTGTCTGAACAACTGACCCTTCCATCAATATGGACCTTGCCCCGATTATGCACTCGTCTTCAATTTTGCATGATCTCAGCATGCAGCTGGGTCCCACACTCACATATTTTCCTATTGTAGTTGCTGCAGACAAACCAGTGGGAGAGCTCCTGTCCGCAATCGAGAGATTTGGCAAGTGAGAGATCCCATGCAGCCCATCATAGCTGTGTTCACCGACAACATGGACACTAGCCAATCCTGAAATTCTTGGGGGCTCAGCAACGACCACAGCACATGATGAGCAGACAAAAGCAGGAGGAGGGGCATGCCCGGTCTGCAACAGTCCTCCAGGGAGTTACAGCAGAGAGAATGGCCAATCACAGAGCCTGCCATGAGCCAAACCACTTTTCGATGATTGTCCACATTACACATTCCAAATTAGTTGCAAGCTACAGACAGCACTGGAGGACAGCTGGAGCCATTGATGCTGTCAACACCTTGAGGGTGCAGGTCAAGAATCATCAGTCAGTTGTTGGCTGTCGTGGCCTCCACCCACAACCCCATAACTTCGACCTGTGTTGAGTGTATGATCAAAAGCAGGACTACTATTGCAAGATTAATAAGTGTCTGGTTACGCATGGGTATGCATGCTTGCTGATCGCTCACTGCCTCTCTCAAAGCCAGGCTACTTAGGTTGCAGACCCCAGATAGTCCTGGGCTCCAAAATTTGAGCCCGCCAATGGTGACCCTTGCCCAATATTGCAACCCCTGTGTACCTTGCATATGGAAAAGCAACTCTTGCCAACTGCGCACAGCTATGGGGGACTGGGACGGGACCAACCTTGCGGCATGTATGACCGTCCTGTCTTGAATATTGCTGAAGCAGTCCACCCTAATCGAGTTGAGGTCCCCTCTCAGAACGCAGTTGTACCAGATAGATACCTGCCCAAGACAAAGCAGCCCCGCGATCAGGAGCTTCGTGAGCAGCAGACGGGCACATGCAGCCCCATATGCTGCCCAAAGGGTCTTCCTGCAGTTCGGGCCAAGACCGGATCTGCTCGCGACGGGGAACGCGCAACTGCACAGCGCGCCTCCTCACCCGCTCGTACAGATCAACGTCACCGATGACCACGGCGCTGGGAGCCACCCACGCGTCCGGCGCTTTCACCGGCACGCGGTTTCCGAGGACGACCTCGCTCCTTTGACGGCAGTAGGGTTCCTTGTCGATGGGGATGGGAGAATCGACAGGCCCGCCAGAAAACAGCTCGCGAGCGAACGTCCAGGAGGCGCCCTCCAGTCTGCTCAGGCCAGATGCTCTCAGCGCATGGCGCCCAAGGGACCTGTACAGGCCCGCGACGCCCTCCAGCGCCATTGGCGCACAATGCCGGTGGGACAATTGAGCCGGGGCAGGCAACCTGCACGGCGTACCAACTGCGCACGGACCCCCAATGCCAACTTTGCGCAGTGTGCGCGTCCGCATTATACCCGATTTGGGGCCCCAATTTTCCGTGAAAAGTTGGAGAGGAGGAGCATCGGTGTGCTCGCCGCGGCCGCACACGGCGCGGCGGGGCGGCGGCATGGACGCCATTGACGCTGAGATAGTGAACGACGAGTACGACGGACTCGCGACGCGGGATGCTCGTCACAGGCTGAAACAAGCGCGCTTCTTTGAGGAAAAGGAAGCCAGGGAGCTGCGCGGCAAGGCCGTTGCAGCGGCCATACGGAAGGCAAGGCCGTCAAGTTGGCAAGTCCCCCGGCGAAGCATCCTTGGATCGAGCTGTCGCGTTGGTGCCCCGCCAGTTGCGCTGGAGTTGATTGGTGCTTGTCGCGGCGGTGAGAGGCCAACGAGGGAGTCGGGTGTGCCGCACAGGACGAACTAGAGGAGGAAGAAGCGTTGGAACGGCGTAGGGCGCAAGCAGCAGCGAGGGAGCCCAGGGAGAGAACGGAGAGTGAAGAGTTCATCAGGGCAGAGCTGTCAGCCGTGAGGAAGGTGCGCTGATGGCCCATGGTCTGCGCTGCCGCCATGAGACAGCAAAGCAAATGCCCCTGACATCCAATTGATGGATTCATCGACCTGCAGATTTGCACGGCCTATAATCTGTACCATGGTTTGCACAATGGTTTACACAAAATGGAGCATTTGAGGCTTGTTGTGTTGCTTGCGCCAACTCTTGTGTTCTTTCTGTTTGTTGTAGTCCAGCGCATCTGGCATCATCCCAACAGAAAAAACTCAAACGCTGGGCCCCCTCCCTTAAGCGCAAGAAAGGTATATCTTTCCCGCACTGTAGAAGCAGGCGTAGATGGATCAGAATGCAAGGGCAATGCATGGAACAGTGAGGCGAGCACATTCCCCTTTTGCCAATTGAGCGTTGTCCGTGCAAGACGTTTGATTGTCACCTCCTTTTTACTCTATACCAGGCACTCCCTCCAGACGAGCTAAA